CACATTTCTGATAACTACAGATCAAAATTGACAGTCTGCAGCACAGCATGACCAATGACATCTGCCTCCTGACCACTGTACTTGCCATAGCTCAGAGAGTTCTTGCTCAGTGTCGGAGAATCTTCATAAATTGGGTCCCCACCTACATAAGCATCAGAGGGAATGAACTTGCTGACAGACTAGCTGACATTGGTTGGGGTATGCCCCCAAATTCTTTGATCATATCTTGAGGCAAGGTCCAACGCGATAGGACTTGCCATTCTCCTGCACAAAGAGAAAGCAAGAACCTCCCCCAGATGGTACTCAGATGCCACAGGCTATGAGCCATTGGCACTCTCTGAAACAATTAAGGTGCCGGTCATTCTTCACAGAATCAGACTAGGTTGGCAAATTACGGAGACAACTGACTATGCAGTTGGGTATTGCAAGCATTGTGGCGAACCGAGTGCCATCCTGTTACACTACTTACAGAGTTGTGACCACACACAATTCCTGAGACAAGGACCACCTACCCGGCTGGTAAGATTATTATGCCGTATGCTTACATCGTGGCGGCAGAAGCGCCTGCTGGCAACCCGGCAACCAAGGAAACTATTCACTGACAGTGAATCAATTGAGGTAGCAATAAATAGCTAACACAGGCCAGGCCATACATATGGAAGGCCTGGGCGAAGTGAGAAGCAAATCTCACTAATTGCTCTGCCCATAGCAACTCTATTCTCAACATGCAGGGTTACCAACAAACCTTAACCCTTCTTTTAGCTAATGTCCGCAGCTTTTGCACCAACATAGGAGAGCTAAATCTCATGACCCCCTCTGAGAGGCTTAACATCACAGTATGTACAGAGACGTTCCTTGATAGCACAGGAGCCAAGGGAGAGTGGAAAATCTCTGGATACAGTCAATGGGAACGCAAAGATCGTGTCATTGGATGAAAAAGGTGGAGTGACAGTATGCTTTAGAAAGGATCTCCACATTCAATCTCTTTCTTCAGTGCTTCTTGATATTCTTGATATAATGTATTTCAAAATTATGATTGCAAGGAAACAAAGCATCCTTTTCTGTGTACTGCGCGGGCCTCAGCGGCAAGGTAGTTTTCCAACTGAATTGCTGCACAATCATGTGGACTTTCCTGTACACGAATCAGGATCATTCTCGGACCCAGTCATGTCTAACATTTCCAGTTTACTTCTTAGCTCTCTCGGCACAGTTTGAACCTCTGATCACAATGCTGTTCTCACTCGCTCTGTCACGCTGGCAGTGGGAAAGAACAAACTGGGACGCTGCAAAAGCAGATTTGCCAAATACAGACTGTTGGGTAGTATTGATGACAGGTAAACAGATTGGCAAACATCTGGACATTCAAAAAAAGTATGGTCTCCATAGGAATTCACTTGAAAAGCCTTACGACTCACCCTGGTTTGGTCATCAATGTCGTAATGCAGCAAAAGCAAAGAAAGAGTAAGGGAGACAACAACAAAAGCTTTCATAAACAAGCTTGCAAAAGACTGATAAACCCTTCGGTGAGCAAAAAGCCGAAGGGCAACTGATTTGTGGCAGAAACTGCAGAGTGGCAATACTGGATCCAAGCAATGGTGGAATCTCACTAAAAACTTGCAAGGCTTGTCACGGGAAGATATCACCCCACCACTCACTTGAAAAGATGAGTCTACAGCCACCAGTTGCTCCCATTCTACTGTAATGAACCTACAAAATACTGACTTGCTTTAACATCCAAGTATCAAATGTCCAGCGTATTCTGGCACAACTGGTCCAGACAGAGTTAATCCACACCTCCTCCATACATGTGCTGCTGAAGTGGCCCTTCCTTTAATACTCATCTTCACAGGGTGCTTCTCAAGAATATACTAGCCTTCTCTTTAGAAGTCTCCAAGGATTGTACCGGTCCAGAAAGAGGATTACAAATCGAAACCAAATGATTAATGACAAATTTCTCTTTTGCCATTTATTGCATAAGTCTTTGAAGTGTGAATTGTACAAAAAGTTCTATGAACACCTCGAAACAACCGATTGCTTTCTTTACGTCAGTATGGTTTCGGAGAGGGAAAATCGGCATCAGACCTTTTAGTGCTTTTATAGTAAGAGCCTAGACAGCGAGTCATTGCATTGGACATATCGGGTACATTTGATACCGTCTCGCATAATAGACTCCTTTCAAAATTTAAGAGCCTAGGGACCCTTTGAACAGACTACCTCAGTGATAGAAGCCTCACTGTGGTTGTAGGAGGCGAACAATCTGAAAGATATCCAATTAATGCAGGTATTCCACAAGGCAGCCTCTTTCAGCCGTTAATGTGAAAAATCTTTTGATGAATTAATGCAACAAATCTCTGAGGCAGTGACGTATGCATATGACTTCACTATTCATCTGAGCTTCTCCAAAGACAACACCAAGACAAGTAGCATAAGACTGAGTTTTTTTTTTTATACTGTATCAAACTGGAGTTCCTTTTTAAAATTTGATGAAATCATACATAAC